CCCACTCACTAGGGCGTCTTCCATGCTGCCGTTCCCGCTCCCCTTCTTCTCCTCTTCGGATTTCCTCTGTTGCTGCATCTCTAGTTCGTCCACTATCTGCACAATTGTTCTCCCTTTCTTCATATCTGAAGGAACAGAGATCAACTCCTTCTTTCTCTTCTCTATGAGAATTGACAGCCCCTATCTGCTGTACAGGGTGACAAATCTTCTGATTTTCTGCTGCATCAGTCTGAAGTGTTGGAATTTCGCACGCGCCAACAGGAGCAGCACTCTTGATCGGTTGAGTATCTGATGGCTGACTTGGAGAAAGGGCTCTTTTGATTGTGGAATTTAGAGGAAATGTTTGCAAAGGTTGAGGAGCAGGCTGCAGAAATGGTAATGGATTATCGGACCTATTGCCACCATGCATGGAGAACATAGATAATGTACTGCCCTCTCTTCCCTGGTCTTGACTACCTGTAGTCAGAGGCTGATTAGAATCAGCTGTAATTGTGTTTTGTTGCCCACTGATTACAGGAAAGGACCTTTGACCCATCATAAACTCGCCAGTAATTTCTTTTCCATAATTAATCTGCGTTGAAGGATGCCTCACATACTCCAACTCTTCTGTAAGCATCCCATTGCCTTTGTCTTTTGGTTGGTCCTCTTTAAACATCCTTCGAAATCTGCTGAGAATGGGATTGGATGTTCTTCCATACTCGATAGACTGCACTGGTATCTTCTCTGAATTCATAATCCATTCCCCATACATGTAGAACGGAATATCTTCTGCAGATCTATTGTTTCTCACCCTTGCCATGATAATATCATTTCTTTTTGGACAGTGCTGCACTGTATGAAACATAATCCCACAAAAAAGGCATATTCTGCCAATCTTTTCATAGTGAAGATAGACCGTCTTAGAAGTATTGTCATCCAAAGTCAAGTTGATCTTATCTACCACTGAATCCTTTATATTAATCTTGGCCTTACCCCAAATATAATCTGGTCTTGCAAACAGCATATTCTCTTGCAAAGGATGGAACTCAGATGGCTTGCCAATTGTAGAGAGGATCTGCTGCAAGAGATTGAGGGACCTATGATTCCTTGGTACTCCATAAACACGAACATTCACATATATATTCTCAAACTTGTAATCCTCCTTAGTTTTGGATTCATCCATTGGATCTATCCATTCTAAGAGAATATTGTCAGAGCCCATAGTCCATGGCTGGCGTGTGTATACAAACATGATGGATTCAAGAGAAGTAAAGTGAGCCATAAAGAGATGCCCTGAAATCTGAGAAATTGCATGAAAATGGTGCCTCCACGCTCGTGTCATGGCTTGAGAAATTGCTTGGTGAGACAGAGATCTTGGAGTTCCTCAGTACATGCCACTTTCATAAGAAGATTGTAGCAATACTCTATCTGTGGATCTTTACTGACCTGAACTGCCCGCAAGTTCTGGATTCTTGGCGCCTCAATACTTATGGCTTGAAGATTCAAAGCCAACTCCGGAATCTCCATCACTTCAGTGGCCTCTGTATGCCCAGCTTCTCTGTGTTCGCCTTTTCCCCCTTCTTGAATCGCTGATGGCAGGTAACCTTCCATCTGAATGGAGAGAACTTGGACCAACTGGAGAGAACTGAGCAGATTAGGGGAGAAGAGGGAGGAAGAGATTACGGAGAGCACTAATCAGGCTTGGAGGGCGGAAGAACGAAGCGATTAGGCAGAGGAGTGGGGATCTTGAATCTAGGGGTTGGGGTGGAGATTAGAACGGCATTTCGCCAGTCGCCACAGGGGCCAACGAGAAGGAACTAGAACCCTTATATTTGTGAATGGAGGGAGTATTTCTTTTGACCTTGGTACAAGAACTTGCAAATTTCAAATTATTGAGTGAGAATGGGCAAATTGTGCTTGGTTTCTCTTTCATAAAGTTCTTTGTTTGCCGAAGAGAAGAAATCCTTACAGGACGGCCACCATTTCGAAAAATCTCATACCCGCTCCGTTTCAAAATAAGCGTGTCAACTTTGTATTAACTTTGGAATATACTGATAATTGGTCAACACTCAACTGGCAGCTGGGTGGAAGAGAAACTGGTCGTAGTTCAGATGGTACGCAAATCAACACTCATCGTGTGTTCAAAATGTTTCCAAATTGCGGCCTTGTGTTTCGTAGTAGAGTGGATGCTCGTCGCTCCTGGTGACATTTTTCTCTCGTGGCCTCGTGGGGGATGGTGGCTTTGCGGATTTCGGATCTGGATCGACCAGCGGGGTTCGGTTCATCGCGGCCGTCCGGATTTTGAATTGGACGGCCCACGTCGGCGGCAGAGCACATGTCAGCACGAGCGCCCTTCCCGTCGTGCGCTCGGCCCCCTCCCCTCCCCACCCAATGTCCATCCCCCGCCGATCACCGCCGCCGCCGACACCGCCGCCGTGCCCCGGCCTCCTCGGCGCCCTCCACCACAGCGTCTTGGCCGGCCACGCCGCCGCCGCCGTCTCCCTCCTGCCCACCCTCTCCCGCGCCGGCCTGCGCCCGCCCTTCCCGCTCCTCTCCTCGCTCGCCCGCCTCCTCCTGCTCCGCCGCGCCGCGCCGTCCTTCCCCGCCCTGGCAGGCCGCCTGCTGCTCTACGTCCGCCTCGCCGGCCTCAAGCATTTCGTCGCATATTCCACCCAGCTCGCCAACCACCTCCTGTCTCTGCATTTCCTCCTCGGCCGGCCGCGGGACGCCCGCCGCCTGTTCGCCAGAATGCCCCGCCACAGCTTGTACTCCTGCAACGCCATGTTAGCGGGGTACGCCCACCTCTCCCTCGCAGCCCCTGCAGCGGAGATCTTTGCTGCTATGCCGCAACGCGACCTCAACTCCTATAACTCTGCTATGCTCGCACTCGCGAGCGGTGGAGAGATGCGGGGAAGCTTGGTGCTCTACTCCGACCTCCGGCACACGTCTCCTTCCCTTGGCTACAGCGATCACACCTTCTCGGCGCTCCTGGTGGCGTGCGCTGGTCTCATGGACAGGGACCTTGCCAGGCAGCTCCATGCACATTTGTCTCATCTTGGGTTCTTGTCTGATATTAACATCGCCAGTTCCCTTGTTGATGTGTACAGAAAATGTGGCTGCATTGCTCATGCACATAGGCTGTTCGACGAGATGCCTGTGAAAGACTTGCGGGTGTGGACGTCAATAGTTTGCGGCTACGCAGAGGATGGCCAGATGAGTATTGCTCGTCAGATCTTTGATCGGATGCAAAAGAGGAGTATCATTTCATGGAATGCTCTCATGGAGGGATACGTTCGTAATGGACAGGCAGCAGAAGCATTGAGTATTTTTAAACATTTGATCAAGGATGGTTTTCATCCAGATCAGTCCACCTTCAGCAGCGCTTTGTCTGCTTGTGCAGCTATTGGTTCAGTGACACATGGTAAGCAGATCCACGGCATGTTGCTACAAACTGGTTTTGATCCCAGTGTAATTGTTCTCAGCTCACTCATTGACATGTACTCGAAAGGTGGTTATTTGGCCGGTGCCAGACAGGTTTTCAGTCTAGCATGTCAGGAGAGGAAGGATACTGTGTTGTGGAATGCAATGTTATCTGCTCTATTCCATCATGCCCATGGACAGGACGTGATAGGATTGTTTGTTCAGATGATTCGGGAGCGAGTGAAGCCTGATGCTAACACGTTTTTGCTAGTTTTGACAGCTTGTTGCCATTGCAGCCTAGTTGATGAAGGCATGAATTTCTTTGATTTGATGACCAAGAGATACAGGATTGTTCCAGGAGAAGACCATTATGTTTGTGTGGTGGATTTGATCAGCCGTTCATCCCGTTCATGTGATGAAGTAGTTGAATGGATCAGAAGTTCACCATTCGGTTCTAGCAAACAAGCTTGGGAAACTTTGGTTGGGAAATGCGCGATAAATGGCAACGCAGAGTTGATGAGTAAAGCAGAGGAGCAGCTAGCCGAACTGGACAGTCCAAAATAAATGAGTGCTTGCTCTTCAAAGTTTGTTTTGCGAGGTTATCTCCCTTGACTCCCATGTTGAAGAAGGCTCAGGCAGACAAATTACTTTGTGATAAGAACTTTGGCATGGTGAAAGCTGTTTGTTCTTTGCACAGGAAACATTCTTTTGTGAACAGAGACTGGATAAGTGCATCCCTGAACAAGTGTGATGTAGCAGTGGCATCATAAAGAATCGGTGGTGAAGGGACCTGCAGACATGAGAGTTCTGCTGGGCGTGGTGTAATTGAAGGAAGAGGGAACGGATATTCTTGAGCAAATAATGCGCTGCGGCTTGGCATACCAAGTAAAGAGTGAAAAAGCGATTTCACAAATATTGTCAAGCAAACATCGCTCTGTCATGTCACATGCCAATGGACACAGGACACACCGAAACAGGAAGCTCAGCATTACTATTTTTCTGCTGGCCTTCTTGAAAGTTTGTAGGTACAAATAATTCATCGTCCATATTGTATCTGCATCTGTGTCCAGTTTCAGAAAATGATGTACAGATACTTGCATTACAGCAAGGAAATGTGATTTTGCCCAGGTTAGCATGTAGTTGTGTCCACAGGATTACATGGCGGATGAAACAAATAAACATAGGCTATTGCAAATTTAGCAACATATTTCTGATGCTGGTGCATAAATCGTGTATGTTGTTTCTGTACAAACATGTGTGACAAAGCTAATCCATAAACATGGATGTTGTTTTTCTTTTGCTACTACAGGCGATACATTCATTTCATATGCATACCTAAGATATAAATTGTAATATTTCATATACATACTCCATAAATATGGATGTTCTTGTCCACAGGATTATGACGGCAGATGTTGTGTACAAACATGTTTCTGCTGCAGAACGCCATCATGTTCAACAACGTACATCAAATATCTTAAAAAGCAGACAAAATTCCCTAGAAAAGCCTAACTATGTATGCTGAGAATTGCGCTATCTACTTGGATGTTGCAACCAGCAAAATGACGCCAAAGCCTTCAAGTCTGTAATACTTCATGAAGCTATTGGTAATGGTTGACCCATACTGGCACAGAGTACACCAGAGTTCCCAGCACGAAAGAGAGCACGAAGGTCGCTGCAGCATAGACAAAGGCCCTACCAATCTGTCTGCTGCTTCGCATAGCGTAGATTTCAGCAGCAAAAGTAGACACTGTGCTCAAGCAGCCGAGGAAACCAAACTGTATGCCATTAAGAACAGTTGTCGAACGCTTTGTATTCACCTACAGAAAGACCAAAACCAATCAGAGAGATAGCAACACAATTTACATAAACCGTATAAACACATGCTTTAGCTATTATACCGCTTTGGCAGTCACGGCCAGTGATGCCATGATACCCGCAGCAAGAACATTGGCTACAAGTGTCCCGATGGGCAGCCATTTGAGGGATCTCTGTTTGCCGATTCCCTGGCCATTGAGCCTTGCCAAGTACCAGCGTAACCAAACGCCCGGAGGCGCAACCGAGCACCCCAACCATAGTACAGCGCCATCATCAAGATTGCGCACCTTTATTATGGCCAACATGATGCTCAGAACCCACACAAAAGAAAGCAAAATCATCATAACTGCTATAAGCACAAAATGTTTAGTCCTAGTGTTGACTTTCAGGTGCTCCCAGTTACATTTGCTTCCTATTGAACTATTTTCCTTGATGCATTTCAAGATCCAGCTTCGTAGGCGCTCACCTGTTTCGGCGCCCACCCTGATGGACTCATTGACGATGAACATTCCTGAGTAGGTTAGTGTTGTTAATCATCAAAAGAATGATTTCCCTTATCTCTTTATTTAGTGGTAACTAATTTTGGACTAATAGCACTTTATAGAAAATTATGATGAGGTACCTAATACTATGCCAGCTATGGCATATGCCCAATGGTCTTTGGAAGACATGCTAACCATCGCTTGATTCCACCCACTGAAGGTAGTAAGGCTTCCCATGTATCCGGTTGTGATTCCAACAATGAGATGTTCAGATATGTGCCGAATGTCAGTCTTAAAGATGATCCCAAACCAGGCCATCAGGAAGGATCCTAGCTGATGCACAAACATTTGGGCATTAACATGTGTCAGTATAGCCCAAATCCCTGGTGGTTTTTTACTTGAGTAGGTACAGGATAGAACATACCATGTTTGATGGAAGATCAAGGTACAACGGGCTTTGGTTGGAGGTGAGTGCCAGGCAGCCTGGGCCGAACAGCTTTTGGAGCCCATACCTTGTAAATACCTAATTTGGACATCAAAAACGTAATTACGGGAATGGAAAGGGATGGTACAACGGTAAATGTTTTCTGAATGCATGCATGAGTTTAAAGTAAAAATGTCCCCTGAACTTTCATCGATCTTCCGCTACATTTGCGTACACTAAGGAAGATCACTTAGTAATTAACACCTAATACAAACAACAGTGAAAGTTACCCCAAATAACCCAAAGGCAGCTAAATGGATCAGGTAAGAAGCGTAATCTAGCCTCCGAGAAAGCATATATTCTTCAACCTGCAGGAAAGCATAGACATGTTCATTTTAGCATCTATAGCACACCATACAGCCTCGCAATAGTGCTAGACAGCATAATCATTTGATTAATAATTGCAAGCAATCACTGAACTCAAAGTACAATTTTGTACCTTGCCTGATGAGCTCTCGCCCTTTGGCTCCACAGAAGACTCAGGTGCTGGCAGACCTGTGCCATGTGAGCTGTAGCCATGGATTCGATTATCTCGGACAGGACCGAACTTATGTTGATCCAATGTATTTGCCGTATCTTCATCATCCTCATCTTCCAAGGCTAGCACTCGGTCACCACTGTCAATGACCTGAGCCAAAGCCGAGCCATCAGCATCACCTAGCAACTGGTCTGCTGACTGAAGGGAATGCCTCATTGAGTTGAGGATCGAGTCGCCCATCTCGCGAGAGAGGCTAATGGATCCCCTTGAACTGGGCCTGCTACTTCTCCTGCTTAGCAGTGAGCCTGACCTAGCAGCCGAAGGATGGCCATCGGAATCCATGGATTCACTTCTTACATAGCCCAGCCGATTCCCCTCAGAAACATGGCTCCTAGTTGAAGAGTCGTCCATAATGCAAGCTCGCTTTTCCAGCTAGCTACAAGAGATGTAAGAGCACTGCCAGAGAAAAAGAGAGTAGTTTTTCAAAATCAATCGCCACCAATACATGCCTTATAAAATCAGGGAGCAATAGGAACCAGACAATGAGCAGGACAAAGAGATAGATTGGGGGTATATTTTTTGGCTGAAGCTGGACCAATCACATCAAAAACATATTAGTACTGCACAAGGCCGTGGAAAATCTTTTTTAAAAATTCAGAAATTCCTTTCTCTAGCCAATCCCAACGAGTTCAAAACATATTAGCAGTGCCCAGCAAAGTTCAGAAAGTAAGAAGAAAAAACACCATAGCTCAAAATGTTAACAAAAGGTGAAAATAACATAGCTGTTTATGTACTGAAGGACACATAAAGAACTCTGAAAAAAGATTCCTGGCACATACACATGGGGTACTGAAGTAACTATATTGATCAGTGAAGTGATCATACGCAGGGATAGGGTACACCAGCTGAAGGCAAGACCAAGAGCCCAAGACAGGAAGAGCCAATCAGTGGGATCAAAATCCAAAAGAAGAGCCAAACGGTGGATCCACCACCGGAATTTAACGGAAGTGCTAACTAACCCGTGAAATAATTAAGTAGATGCAGACAAGAACATGTTGGCAACGTTGACGGCACCATTTCAATCAGCACGGCGCTTAGCCAAACATGTGGCGTCTGCTAATTAGGCTGCTACTGGATAAACAAATGGATTTCCAGAAGAGAAGCTAGTGAAAAGGCGCTGGCCTTTTTGACATGGACACTAAACTAATGGTGAACCAGTCTAATCCCCCGGCGCCTTTAGCTGCCGAAGCGCACTCGCTTGGTCAAGGAAGGTGGGAGGGAGATCGGCGGGACCCCACGCCGCCCGCGTACCCGCCGTCGCCGGTCCTTTTTCGCCGTCTCGGAGCCATGCATGTATCTTGCGGCTTCTTTGTCGATCGGATTTACCCATCTGCAGGAGCAGGAGAGAGGAAGGTGGACGAGAGGAGGAGAGAACCTGTTGGGGTTGAAGCTGACGGCGGAGGACGGCGGGCGGCTCGTGCGGACGGGGGTGAGCGCGCGTGACCGGCGGTGAGTCGAGGTGGTCGTCTCCGTGCATACTCCCCATTTTTATAGGTGGAAAACGGAATCACGGGAGAGCAGAGCCTGTGGACGGACGGGAATGGGATGGGTATGAACGGACTGCGCGGGGATGGCAATGGACGGCTCCGATCCGATCTTCTCACGACTCACGATTCCGCTTGCTGCTGAAAGAGTGAAGACGGACTTCACGGCATCTCCCACGTCGTTCCATGAACGGACATTTGGGCCATTTAACGTCATTCTTCAAATATTTTTTATTTTTCTGGTCCTTTTCCTTTCTTTACCGAGTTAAAGTTTCTCATTCAGTAGCATTTCAACGATACATTTAGAACTTGCAACAAATACAACCAGAAGCAATTTCATTGTATGTTCAACAAGTTTTATAATTAGCATCCATCAAACAAACAAATGGACTGATTGGTCGAACAGAATGACTCGCTTTTGCCTTCGCGTAGTTTGCAAAGATGTTGCAACCCTATTGGTCTACAAAATTCGCCACATCGGGATCCAAGTCACCAGTCTTCACGTGTGTACGACCTTGGACTCGCATGCTTGCTTAACCGCAAGCTTTTTCTTCTCGAGGTCAACTTTTTTCTTTTCTGCATATCCATGAACGCGTTAAACATCTTCGCCTTTTCTTCTTCTTGGCCTTTGCCTCCTCTTCTTCAACATGATGTCCTCTCACTTGTCTGTCATCTTGGTCACCATCCCTTCACGCTTCGCCTTCGTTCTCATGTTTCTTCTTGCTCGACCTCGGCAGTCGGCACACAGGTGGCCGGTACAAGCCCTCCCCCATTTGATCGCTTGTTTCACCAACTTCATCCCCTTTGGTGATGGCAGTCTTAACGTAATTGGATATATCACTCCACTTGATTTGGACATTCAACTTGCTCCAACAATGAAGCATCATGAATGGCTTTGCCCTCGTTTTTTTACAATGTCATTGCAGGGTCGGGCTAGCAAAGAAATACAATCACATGATCAACACATTGCAACATAGAGCAAAACAGTCACATGATCAACACATACAACATAGCAAAGCAAAACTTACGCGCTCATGGATTCTCACGCCACTTGACCATCGATTTTGCATTTGTGGCTTTGTGCATATGCTCCACAAAACTTGTTGACACACTCTTGAATGGTGAAGTAGGATCAACGCCCCTCTAAAACTATAGAAACCCAAGGGGTGAAAGTGTATTGTCTCCCAATTAATGTTTTTGTGTTGAAGACTCAAAAGTTTTTTGATTTTATTTGAGTCGTAGTGAACCCATGCTATAAAGAGGGGGGGGGGGGTGGTGTTGAGAGTGTTAGGGATCATATTCCATTCATATAAAAATTCTTCAGAAGCAAAATCATGAATCAAATCCAAAATTGAATCTCTCGCTTGAATGTGAGGGCTTGTTGAGAAATAGTTGACCAGTTCAAAATCATGAACAAAATCTAAAATTAAACACCTCAATTGAATGGGAAGGGGTCCAAAATTAGGGTGCATAGTGAATTAGATGTTCCAGAGAAAAATAGGTGTTATGGGGATTGGTATGTTCTTTTAGATGGTGAGAGGGTGTACATGACTGATGTGTTTACATGCTGATTGCTGACGATTAATTTATGAAGTCATTGACACATTCAAAATCGTGAATCAAATCCAAAATTGAATATCTCAACTGAATAAGAGAGCTCATGGTGAAACAGTTGGCTCAACCAAAATCATGAACCAAATCCAAAATTACACACCTCAATTGAGCAGGAGGGCTCCAAGACTAGGGAGCACAGTGAATTAGATAGATTATCCAGAGAAAACAGGTCTTTATGAGAGGATTCACGAGGTTGATGCGTTTTGCAGGCTGGTTGTCGCTAATTAATATGATAAATCATTGACCCAGTTCAAATCATGAACTCCATCTAAAATTGAATACCTCAACTGAAAGAGCGAGCTCGTTGAGAAATAGTTGACCTGGTCACTTGAACAAAATCAAAAATTGAACATCTCAAATTGAATGGTGGGCTAAAATTAGGGAGCATACTGAATTAGATTCCCGAATGAGAGGGCTCGCTGAGAAATAGTTGACCAGGTCAAAATCATGAACTAAATCTAAAATTGAACACCTCAATTGAATGGAAAGGGGTCCAAAATTAGGGAGCATATTTTACTCCCTTTGTCTCAAAATATAGGATGTGTTATTTTTTCAAAAAAAGTCAAATCTCTTGAAATTTGGCCAAATTTGTAGAGAGTATATCAATATCCTAATATCAAATCAGTATCATTAGGTTCATCATGAAATGAATTTTTATATTTTATTTAAGCAGTATTATGGATGTCAATATTTTTGGCTCTGGACTTGGTCGAATTAAAAAAATGGCTTTTCAAAAAATTAATGCACTTTATATTTTGGAATGAGAGAATATTTGGTTTGGCGAGTGGGGCAGATGATGGAGTGTGTTTTATTTTTATTTATAATAAGGTGTTTTGGTGGGCCTTTCGCGGTGTGACTTGTATTATTTGCTAATCAAGCCATATTTATATGGGGAATTTTTCTGCACAGGTGAATGCAAGTACTCCCTCCGTTTCTTTTTACTCTGCATATAAGATTTGGTCAAAGTCAAACTACACAAAGTTTGACCAAATTTATATAAAAATATATAAACATCTACAATACTAAAACTATATAGTATGAAAATATGTTTCATGGTGCATCTGATAATATTGATTTCATATTGTGAATGTTTATATTTTTTTAATATAAAGTTAGTCAAACTCTACAAAGCTTGACTTTGACCAAACCTTATATGCGGACTAAAAATAAACGGAGGGAGTATATTGGTATTACAGTATCACATATTGGTGTTTCTTTTTTATAGGTGGTGAGATGTTGTGCGGGGTTGACATGTATTTATAGGCTGGTTGCTGACGATTGATTTGAAAAATTGTTGGCCTCGTTAAAATATGAACTGTAAGTGTATCTAGTGCCCCTTAGTGATTTTGGTGTATTGAAGACTTATAGATTAAGGGACTAATGCGCTTGTGAGTGTACACAGGACTATAAGTCTATGAGGAGTTTGATATTTACAGAGAAAGTCGACCCCTGAAAATGAATGTCTTCAACTGAAGACCTTGGATTTCTTAAGACTTTCTGAAGACTTTGAAAGTGAAAAAATTGGTGTGACCGTGAAGACTTGATATTCATGCGAGGAACATGAAGCGTGAAGACTTTTGTTTTCGTAGTTTTATTTTCTCTTTCTTGAGTCATAGGAAACACCGTATTGTTAAAGGGGGGTCGAGGTAAAACTAAGGAAAAGTTTCCAGGTGATGCTCATCTCAAAATCCTACACCTACCATTCCCTTCGAGTGAAGCCATTGGAAATCTCATACAGTTCAGTCAATTTCTTTAGTGACAGAGACGAAGATCTTCTGGTCTCTGAGGAATTTGTCCTGACTGAGGAGTTAGAAATTCGCCAGTGTGGATTGCCTACAAGTGAGGAACATGATAGCCATCTCAAATTTCTGACCGTTGCTGTGTTATGCGCCAGCTGTCCCAAAATATCTTATCCACCTAACGGTCATATCATTGAAGGGCATTTATGTCTTATCATGTCGGGTTGCTCCCTAGGCTATAAATAGCCGCCCCCTACAACCACTAGCTGGTTGGCTACTCCGCAAGAAACTGACACTTGTCATTGAGAGCATCCCATCCTCCGAGGACTTTGAGCGAAAATCATCAAGAGAGGAAAAACCCAAACCCCAAACCAAACACCTACAAACCCAAAGTGATTGAGCATCACTGAAGAGATTGTTCCTGTGTGGAACCGACGCTTGTTACTTTTGAGGACTGTGCATCCTCCAGACAGTTAGGCGTCATAGTCTAGAGCATCCAAGAGGAAATTGTGAA